CTGAAATATTTGTGATCAAACAGAAAAAACAAACATGTAGCAAAGGGCCAGAGATCAGTGTGTGCGGGTTTCTTCTGCTTTTAACATCAGTTTTCCACCAAATTTAAAGAGCCCATGGCGCTTTTCCTTGTTTTTTGACTTATCTACCACGTTATAACAGAGAATTATCATCTTAGACATGACCTGAAGCTCAAAAAAATTAGGTGCTCGGCAACTTGGGTTATACATGTCTCACAAGCTCTCACGCACCACACCTTTTTTCTAACAAAATTAAGTTTTACATGATAGTTTAAGGATTTCCTTGAATGGTCATAATTTCCAGGTTGTTGCACGTTCATGTGAGCTTGCCTGACATCCACTGGTGCCCCCACCATATTATGAAAACATTATATTGCTTTGTTTGTTATGTATATTTTCAATAAAGCTTATAAAAAAAACATCATCCACCGGTGCCATTGTAAAAAAGTGGAATTTCTCAACTTATAGAATTTTATTAGATTGCTGCATTTGCTGCTTAAAGTGCCTTAAATTTTGTGTTACTTATTTATCTATTTTATATTTCATTTGTATTTTGTGGCATTCATGTGGATGGCAAAGTAAGAATTTCATTGTACAGGGAAACATGTTTCCTAACTGTGCATATGACAAAATAAACACTTTGACCTTTGACCTACTGCATGTCCGGGAATTAAAAACAGCAGTAAAATGTGTGAAGGCAGCCACTGTTTTTATTACTGATTAACCTTCTCATTATTTTCTTGATTAATTGATTTACTATTTGGTCAATTAAATGTTGCGGACATCTCAAACGTCTCATTTTGTGTGACCCACAGTTATTTGTTTACTGGATGGTTGTTACAAGTATTCTGTGCGCTTGCTTAAAATGCTTAAAGTGTTCAATCAGTTATTTTTCAAAATATTTTAATTTTCTGTCAATCAACTTATCCATGACTAAAAAGTGACCTCAGAGATGCGCCAATCAATCGGCGGAGATTGGAAACAGCCAGCTTTCGCTGTGACCGGCCTTGTCCGGTGACGGTGCATCTCTAAGTGATACTATAAATAATACATGTAAGCAATCAAATATGAGATATTTATGAGTGAAGCATTAACAAAATCTCACCTGGAGGCAGTGCAGTCAGTGACTTGTCCATCCAATCAGACCCCTCCATGCTGTAACCAGTGGTGACCCACTAAGAGAGACCGCTGGAGAGTCCATGAGCCTGAAGAGAAAAACAAGCTCATATGAATTCATATAAATATACGGTAATCAATGCCAGATCTCCACATTAACTGATCAATCAATCAAACCTTTATTTATAACTGAGTAGCACATCAGACTACGGTTTCGTAATAATAGACTAAAGACAAAACAAGATGAGCTGTAGACATCAGGTGAACAGAAGGAAATTTTACATTAAAAACTACATAAACAGAATATTATGTGTTTTCCATGACATAGCAAAATACTCATGGTGGCTTCACTGATCTGACCTTTAGTTCAGTTAAACGTTCATTTCCAACAGTGTCATTGATATAAATTTTGATGTTATATTAATAAAAATGTACAGTAGCATGTTTGTGACTGTTGCTAAACAGACGTTGACCTCCCACAGTTTTGTCTTCCTCAACATTTAGGAGTCAACTAATAAGCCAGATAAAGCTGGCAAACTAAATAGTCTGGAGAGTTATAGGCCTCTACCCCGTCTAAAGTGCTGGAGATCCTACTGGATAAGTTAGAACTGTATAGTTTTACTACTGAATTTGGATTTAAATGGAAGCATTGAACTGATAAGTGTATTTTAGCTTTAGATAAATATAATCAACAAAATTCAACAGTTTTATTGTTGCTTCTAAAGCATTTGATCATATTAACCATCATAAATCATTTAACAAATTATGCCAAAGAGGTGTGCCTAGGTGTCTAGTGAGAATCCCGGTGTTTTGGTATGCACAGGCAGTGAGAGTAAAATGGGGTAATTCTTTTATCTGCTCCTTTCCATGCAAATAATAGGATTAGACAAGGTGGGATATTATCCCCATTTCTCTTCAACATGTAAATGGATGATCTTTGAGTGCAACTGAATAGCTGTGGACCTGGATGTATGGCTGGTGATTCCCTTATTAGCCACCTCATGTTATGCTGATGAGTTGGTGATTTTCAGTCCATGCAGTGCTGGTCTTCAACAGTTATTGGGGAGTCATTCACAATATAGGGTAGAATTTGTCATTAAATACAATACTGATCTGAGTAAAACTATGATTATTAGAAGCAAGGAAGACCGGAAAGGAGTATTCCCTGATTTCGTTCTGGCTGGTGCTGCCCTGAAGGAATTGTAAGGACATTAAATCACATCACATAACCAATGATCTCTCAGATAAGTACATCTACAGACAGTGTAAAAAACTATATGCGCAAGTCAACATTTTGGTTTAGAGAGAATTGTTGTAAGGCTGGAGAAGTTAGTATGTCTGCATTATGCCAGTTAAAATATGGGGTTTGTCAATTACCCGCTTTGTTTAGAGTGTTACACATCTCGTTTCATTGGTATATATACCGTTGTTTACTTATCTGTGGAGTTTAAATTCATATTAGCTAATACCATCACGGTTCACGAACTATCCTCTCGTTTTAAGGAAGAGGCCTTTTGGCTCTCTGATTCTGAAACAATTAAAAACTATTTGGAGTTATGGGGGGGTACCAAGCTAATCTAGAGGTACCCAAGACTAAACATTAAATGGCTGGAAACAGGCAAAATGAGCATGTCAGGGGCACTTTATTTACTATATCTTTAGGCTGTCCTCACCTGTCGGACGACTTATAGCTCAGCTCTACCTACGCTCTGACTGGCTGACAGCAAGGAGCTGACCTGTCGCTTTGAACCCAGGATCGTTAAATCCGGGTTAAAACGGACTAACGAGGACTACGGTGACGTCGCTGGTGACGTGGCCCTCGGTTACGGTAGCTGTTAACGTTAGCAGCCGGCTAGCTGTTAGCATGTTGTTGGCTTGTGCGTTGCGCACTGACCCTACAGTGGTGCTGATTAACTGATTCAGGTTAATGACGTGGATTGTTAAAAAAAACGACAAACAATGAGATTATTTACCTGTAGCTGTTTGTTTGTTGCTTATATTACTATATTGAACGCTTCTTCCGCTGTGCGCTTGCTCCACGACTGTTTAGTTTCCGGTCTGATTCTTCTTCTGCTGCACAAAATCCGTCAGAGCGGGAAAGTAACAGAGCAGCACCATGAGCAGCACAGAGGTGCTACCGCCACCAGGTCAGATCGGGAACTACAAGTGTAATGTATACAGTGACATTTAATTACTTGTAAATGTTTTTATTCACAGGGTTTCACTTTTAAACTAATATACACTATATTGCCAAAGGTATTCGCTCATCTGCCTTCATATGCAAATGAGCTTGAGTAAGAACCAGTTCTTAATCCATAGGGTTTAATTTGATGTCAGTCCACCCTTTGCAGCTATAACAGCTTCAACTCTTCTGGGAAAGCTGTCCACAAGGTTTGGGTGTGTTAATGGGAATTTGACCATTCTTCCAGAAGCACATTTGTGAGGTCAGACACTGATGTTGGACGAGAAGGCCTGGATCACAGTTTCTGGCAATATAGTGTATGTGTATCTGTGCTGGACCCGGGACCTTTCTCTAGTCTGGCTCTTGGTGCCCATTCATGTCTGGATCCTCATGGAGTCCCAGCCTCTTATCATTCCCGTACTCTACAAAGGACATGAACAAAATGTAGTCTGTTGGAGGCACCTGGAAACTGGATTGTCCTGCAGGGTTCGTGTTTATAGTGTTCTTTGTATGCATTACAATATACAGATATATAATGTTTTACAGTGTGGACAATCACAATTATACACAACATCCATTTCTTATTTCCTTCCTGTTACTCTTCCCAAGGCTTCTTCCATAAAGGCTTTTTTGGGGGAATTGATTCTGATCTGATTCAAGCGTCTAAGGGCAGAGGGTGTCATACACTGTACAGATTGTGAAACCCCTTAAGGCAACATTTGTGACTTTGGGCTGTATAAGTAAAAATGTACTTGACAACGTGAAGCCCTGTGACAGACTGGCGACCTATCCAAGATGTACCCCACCTCTCACCCAGTATCAGCTGGGATAGGCTCCAGCCCCCCACAACCCTGTTCAGGAATAAATGGTATAGATAATGAATGAGTGGAAGGATAGACAATGTGGAGAATGACAATCAGCACAAAATAACTGTCTACCTGTAGTTAAAAAAAAAACTAACAAAAAAACACAAAGCTACAATTCTAAAAAGGTTTTTGGACATCTGACACATTAAACAGTCTGTTTAAATTTCTCTGTGGAGACACTTGAAGTCAATTAAATCTTCAGACCAAAGACTATTTTGTGCTGAAGTGCTTTTTATTATATTAGCATGATGTTTGTTGTCATATCAGATTTTGTTGAAAGCAGCAATGTCCATCGACTGAACATAATCCTCAAAGGCTGTGATGTGCTCCTCGAGGATGTCTGTGCCCACCTGGAAACACAGGTACAAGACAGATGAGAGATGACAGAATAAAACCAAAAGCAGGTAAAACTTTAGTTGTATAAAAAAAATGCACTTTACAATGTATTTTACAACTTTACAATGAAGAAAAAGCTGATAATGTGCATCTTACAAGTAAACATAACACTTTCCCAGTTAGTGCTGTTATTGACCAAAAATAGTTTAATTTTTAATGACCTTGTCATCTTCAACCACACAGCCGATCTGCAGCTTCTTGATACCATAGCCCACCGGGACCAGTTTTGCTGCAGGAGATAAAAACAAAAACAAATGCACATGATTATTGAATGGAGCTGTGATCAACAAGTTTCAGTGTTCACCACTTAAGTTGTTAGTTTTTAAACCTCTTAATAGAATCCAGAGTTTCAGATCATGAAGTGTCCATCACGTCTTCAGCCGAAAGATGGTGAATTGGATCATCATCAGCTCTGCTTATCCATACTGATCAATTGCATTTAACCCAATTGTGTTTGCTGTTCTGCTGTGAGGATGAGTTCCTGTAAATGTTTTAAGGGCACTGCACACAGGCGGTGTGATGCATGTCAAAACACCCACACCCATTATTTTCCAATCAAAGCCTACACACTGGTGGTGAACTTACGAGCATTTATGCCAGGAAAATCTCTTTTCAGTTGAGCGAGAAAATATTTTACCGCAAACCTGATTTGATTTAAGTTTTGGCAGTTAGTCATTTAGAAATGAGTTTTCTTCATTTAACCAGGTAGCATCTCACTGAGATTCAAAATCTCATTTGCAAGAGAGACCTGGCCAACAGAGCAGCAACAACAAAGTTAAAAAACTTAAACCACTTTCACACAACTCACTAGGGCTGTCCCGAATGGCAGCTTTTGGGCTCCCGATACTTGGTGGTAATAATTGGCGAATATTGACTGTGGTAGGTGGGGGGGATATGGGTGATATTCAGAGGTGTTACAGAGTGACGCCTCTTTACCTCAAAACGATCTTTGGCTAACAGACAGCATGTTGTCTGTCCACTGGCTGCAGCAAGGTCACAAACTCAGCAGCAGCCACTTTCATTTTGTCCCATCATCAATTTAAGTCACAGAGTTAACGTTAGTAAACGCAGCTGTATGAGCCCACTGGTTGATATTTTAACCAGAAACAGCAACAAACGGCACAGGCTGCTACCTGGACAATCTCCACACAGAGCTTTGCCAACAGCATTGATCTACTGTATTTCTGCAGGGGGCAGAAGGCCTGAATATTCAAATGCTAAAATTGAAAATCGATTACCTACCCAACGAACAAATATCAAAATATTCATGTCCCGCCTTATAACTCACTTGGTAAGTCCAGGCTAAAACACTGCCAACAGACAGCCAGGATTTTACTATTTATTGAATATTACTGCTTCTTCTTCTTCATAAAGCATTGTTTGTAGTTCTACAGTTATGAATGTAGTATTCTTACACTGTCCCCAGACCAGCCCGTCCATCTGGATACTGCGGACACACTCCTCTAGCTTCATCATGTCTGTTTCATCGTCCCACGGCTTGACGTCCAATAGGATTGAAGATTTGGCGATGAGGGCAGGCTCTGAGGAGAGGAAGAGTCAGTTACCCTGGAAACAGCTCTAAACAACAGGTTTGAACAATAGCTCTGATTGTTCAAGACTCATCAGGTAAATAAGGTGTCCATCAAGCTGTCAGCCGAAAGATGGTGATCAAATATTCATCATAAAGAGTCTGACAATCACAGCACAACCATGTCACTGGGTCTTGGTCAAGACTGCAGGATGTGGGTGAAGCTACAAAATCAAACATGCAGAACATTTGTTAAACTGACGATACATCTTAAATCAAACTAAGTATTGATCAGGTTGTAGTGATGTCACTGTGGTAAATCCAGCCAACAGGTGGCAGTTCAGTAATTGGTGGTTGGTTATGATAATCTGATTTGGCAACTTCTCAAAACATTTAACTACTGAAGAAGTCAGATGTTTTTTCTCCAGTTTATAAAATAACTGCAGCTATGAAAACCCATGGGTTTGTCATCCAATAAGGGCATGGGTCTGATTTTTCTTCTTCCCTCCAATAATGTGCAGAACATTTAGCCTGCAAGTTGTTGTGTCAAGTGAGTAAACAAGCTGGGTTAAGAAAAACTGAGCCACAAGAACCTTTTGTCTCTTCACTAATCAATATAGTGTCTGATGATGTGAATGACTCTGTTCAGTGTGTAGCAACCCACTCTTTGCCTTCTTCGCTGCGTACTCTGCTAGACGTTCCTCCTTTAACCTAGCTGCCTCTGCGTCTTCCTGTAAGAAAAATATCAGGGCAAATGGTAAACATGCTGATCACCATTTATAAATGGCATTACCCTGATCTCCTCATGACATCATGGACCTCACCTCGTCTTCGGAGCCAAACAGGTCAATGTCATCGTCGTCATCATCCTTTGAGTCAGCAGCAGGGACAGAGCTAGTGGTGGTATCAGCCACACCTGGAGGGCCGTACTGGCCCAGAGGCTTCTTCACACCTGGAAGACTGACAGGAAACAGGGAGGCAGGGTTTAAGTCATTGATGCCACACACCTGTGTAGCCCTACCGATGACATCATCATTCTTACCTGTTCTTTTGGTCCTGATAGGACCTGATGTGGTTGTACCAGCGGAGGGCGTGGCACAGGTCAGCTGAGGGCGGTGATGAGATCGCCTCAAAAATCGCCACGTCAGCCTGAGAAGGGACATATCTATGGATGAAAAGATGGTGAAACCATTATAGAGAACGATTGGTCAGTCAACAACTAGTTGGATTTCTGTGACTCTTGAGAAAACAATTTAGGAGTCCAGCATCTTGAGGACTTTAATTTTTTTTTACAGCTGTAAATTGAAGGTTAAGGTTTTGGACTGTTGGACACAAAACATCTGAACAACAATTATTCTCTAACTTTATGTACAGTTTTCCGATTTGAAAAAAAAAGGGGGGTATTAAATTGTCAGTTAAAATAAGCTGCTGTCATCATGCTCCTATTTTGGTGCAGGACACGAATCAATTAAAACTAGATTTCTGAACATATTGTATGATGTGCATGTTTTTATTTCACCTCACTGACATCTTATTTCTGTAAACTCAAACATGGGTGCTGCTCTAACAAGAATCTACCTGAGGACATAGTGAATTTGTCATAAATTAAAGACTAACAAGTGAATGCTGTTCCAAACTGAACCAACCCTTATACACTCACCAACCCTTTATTAGGTAAACTTGTACAATTCTATGTAGTTCAAATCAACACATCCACTTTAACATCTGTGTTTATGAAGCTCTGAATGTTTCAGTTTATTGAATTTATCCAAAAAAAATATTACTGAATTGCATACAATTGTACAGGTGTACCTAATCAAGTGGCCACTGAGTGTATATTATACAGAACGTTACTTTACAACCTGAATTATCTTGCATTTATGTATAGATAAAGCAACGTGGGGCTGCAACAACTACTGTACCTAATAGAGTGGCTGGTGCAAGTATATACACTAGTATATTTAGCAGGTTTGATACAAATAAAGTTTATGCTGGTACGTACTGACACCAAGAAATTATACTGCACACAAAACATCGACACAGAGAAAGGCCTTCACATTCTCCTGTATTTACCTTTTATATAATGCTAAACCTAACTACCAGCTAAATAAGTTAAAGCATGGCTACTTTTTACCCCCAGAGAATACCACAAGTATGTGCTTGCTAGACATCGTTCATTATTACACTCATACCGTACACACAGCTTTTCATACAATCAACACAATCTGTTAGAAAATTAACTAGTATAAGCTACCATTGCACAACATGGTCTATAAATGTGTTGGTGACCTGCAGCTTATTAATTTAGAATATATTGTATAGACTTCTTCTTTTTTTCGGCTGTTCCCGTTACGTGACGCCACAGCGAATCATCCGTTTCCAACTATCTCCGGCATCCTCTACTCTCACCCCAGTTAACTTCATGTTCTCTTTTAGCACATCCATATATCGCCTCTTTGGCCTTCCTCTTGACCTCTTGCCTGGCAGCTCCATCTCCAACATCCTTCTACCAATATAACCACTATCCCTCCTCTGCACATGTCCAAACCATCTCAATCTGGCCTCTCTGACCTTGTCCCTAAAACAGCTGACCTGAGCTGTCCCTCTGATGTGCTCATTCCTAATCCTGTCCATCCTGGTCACTCCTAAACAGAACCTCAACATCCTCATCTCTGCTACCTCCATCTCTGCCTCTTGTCTTTTCCTCACTGCTACAGTCTCTAACCCATATGACATAGCTGGTCTTACTACTGTCTAGTACACCTTTCCTTTGATTCTTGCTGCCAATCTTCTGTCACACAACACTCCTGACACCTTTGTCTACCCATTCCAACCTGCCTGCACTCACCTACTCCCTACACTCATCGTCACACTGGACTGTTGACCCCAAATACTTAAACTCCTGCA